TCATATAAGTAGAACAAACTCCTGCTGGGCAGGTCTGAGCTCTGGACCCTTCATATAGGTAGAACAAACTCCTCCTGAGGCTGAAAGAGGCTTTGAGCCTCTTCATTCCCCCTTATATTAGTCGAACAAATTCGTTTCCAGGAGGCTTTCAAGAAGGCTGAAAGAGGCTTTGAGCCTCTTCATCCCTCCTTATATTAGTCGAACAAATTCGTTTCCAGGAGGCTTTCAAGAAGGCTGAAAGAGGCTTTGAGCCTCTTCATCCCCCCTTATATTAGTCGAACAAATTCGTTTCCAGGAGGCTTTCAAGAAGGCTGAAAGAGGCTTTGAGCCTCTTCATCCCCCCTTATATTAGTCGAACAAATTCGTTTCCAGGAGGCTTTCAAGAAGGCTGAAAGAGGCTTTGAGCCTCTTCATCCCCCCTTATATTAGTCGAACAAATTCGTTTCCAGCTTTGAGCCTTTTCATCCAAGGCCCCTTTGAGCCTCTTCATCCCCCCTTATATTAGTCGAACAAATTCGTTCCAGGAAGCTTTCAAGAAGGCTGAAAAGGCTTTGAGCCTTTTCATCCCCCCTTATATTAGTCGAACAAATTCGTTTCCAGGAGGCTTTCAAGAAGGCTGAAAGAGGCTTTGAGCCTCTTCATCCCCCCTTATATTAGTCGAACAAATTCGTTTGCAGGAGGCTTTCAAGAAGGCTGAAAGAGGCTTTGAGCCTCTTCATCACCCCTTATATTAGTCGAACAAATTCGTTTCCAGGAGGCTTTCAAGAAGGCTGAAAGATGCTTTCAGCCTCTTCATCCCCCCTTATATTAGTCGAACAAATTCGTTTCCATGAGGCTTTCAAGAAGGCTGAAAGAGGCTTTGAGCCTCTTCATCCCCCCTTATATTAGTCGAACAAATTCGTTTCCAGGAGGCTTTCAAGAAGGCTGAAAGAAGCTTTGAGCCTCTTCATCCCCCCTTATATTAGTCGAACAAATTCGTTTCCAGGAGGCTTTCAAGAAGGCTGAAAGAGGCTTTGAGCCTCTTCATCCCCCCTTATATTAGTCGAACAAATTCGTTTCCAGGAAGCTTTCAAGAAGGCACGCAATAAGCTAAACAGTTCTGCAATAGATTGATAGTCCTAACGCCCCAATAAGCGGAACAATTGTGCCAGAGATTGTCCTTCCTAACGCCCCAATAAGCGAAACAATTCTGCAGGAGATTTTCCTTCCTAACGCCCCAATAAGCGAAACAATTCTGCAAGCATTTCTCTTTGCTAACCCTTCATAAACGAAACACAAACTCCTTTCGAGCAGGTCTGAGCTCTGGACACCTTCGTCGAGGTGGAAGAAGCTCCTCCTGAACAGGTCTGAGCTCTGGACTCCTTCATATAGGTAGAACAAACTCTTCCACAGGTCTGAGCTCTGGTCCCCTTCATACCGGTAGAACGAGATCTTGACCCCTTCAACAAACTCTTCCTGAGCAGGTCTGAGCTCTGGACCCCTTCATATAAGTAGAACAAACTCCTGCTGGGCAGGTCTGAGCTCTGGACCCTTCATATAGGTAGAACAAACTCCTCCTGAGGCTGAAAGAGGCTTTGAGCCTCTTCATTCCCCCTTATATTAGTCGAACAAATTCGTTTCCAGGAGGCTTTCAAGAAGGCTGAAAGAGGCTTTGAGCCTCTTCATCCCTCCTTATATTAGTCGAACAAATTCGTTTCCAGGAGGCTTTCAAGAAGGCTGAAAGAGGCTTTGAGCCTCTTCATCCCCCCTTATATTAGTCGAACAAATTCGTTTCCAGGAGGCTTTCAAGAAGGCTGAAAGAGGCTTTGAGCCTCTTCATCCCCCCTTATATTAGTCGAACAAATTCGTTTCCAGGAGGCTTTCAAGAAGGCTGAAAAAGGCTTTGAGCCTCTTCGTCCCCCCTTATATTAGTCGAACAAATTCGTTTCCAGGAGGCTTTCAAGAAGGCTGAAAGAGGCTTTGAGCCTCTTCATCCCCCCTTATATTAGTCGAACAAATTCGTTTCCAGGAGGCCTTCAAGGAAGGCTGAAAGAGGCTTTGAGCCTCTTCACCCCCTTATATTAAGTCGAACAAATTCGTTCCAGGACGATTCAAGAAGTTGAAAGAGGCTCTTGAGCCCTTTTATCCCCCCTATATTAGTGAACAAATTCGTTTCCAGGAGGCTTTTCTTCTTTCTTTTCTTTTTTTGCAAGGAATTGGCTTGAAAGAGGCTTTGAGCCTCTTCATCCCCCCTTATATTAGTCGAACAAATTCGTTTTCAGGAGGCTTTCAAGAAGGCTGAAGGAGGCTTTGAGCCTCTTCATCCCCCCTTATATTAGTCGAACAAATTCGTTTCCAGGAGGCTTTCAAGAAGGCTGAAAGATGCTTTCAGCCTCTTCATCCCCCCTTATATTAGTCGAACACATTCGTTTCCATGAGGCTTTCAAGAAGGCTGAAAGAGGCTTTGAGCCTCTTCATCCCCCCTTATATTAGTCGAACAAATTCGTTTCCAGGAGGCTTTCAAGAAGGCTGAAAGAAGCTTTGAGCCTCTTCATCCCCCATTATATTAGTCGAACAAATTCGTTTCCAGGAGGCTTTCAAGAAGGCTGAAAGAGGCTTTGAGCCTCTTCATCCCCCCTTATGTTAGTCGAACAAATTCGTTTCCAGGAAGCTTTCAAGAAGGCACGCAATAAGCTAAACAGTTTTGCAATAGATTGATAGTCCTAACGCCCCAATAAGCGGAACAATTGTGCCAGAGATTGTCCTTCCTAACGCCCCAATAAGCGAAACAATTCTGCAGGAGATTTTCCTTCCTAACGCCCCAATAAGCGAAACAATTCTGCAAGCATTTATCTTTGCTAACCCTTCATAAACGAAACACAAACTCCTTTCGAGCAGGTCTGAGCTCTGGACACCTTCGTCGAGGTGGAAGAAGCTCCTCCTGAACAGGTCTGAGCTATGGACTCCTTCATATAGGTAGAACAAACTCTTCCACAGGTCTGAGCTCTGGTCCCCTTCATACCGGTAGAACGAGATCTGGACCCCTTCAACACACTCTTCCTGAGCAGGTCTGAGCTCTGGACCCCTTCATATAAGTAGAACAAACTCCTGCTGGGCAGGTCTGAGCTCTGGACCCTTCATATAGGTAGAACAAACTCCTCCTGAGGCTGAAAGAGGCTTTGAGCCTCTTCATTCCCCCTTATATTAGTCGAACAAATTCGTTTCCAGGAGGCTTTCAAGAAGGCTGAAAGAGGCTTTGAGCCTCTTCATCCCCCCTTATATTAGTCGAACAAATTCGTTTCCAGGAGGCTTTCAAGAAGGCTGAAAGAGGCTTTGAGCCTCTTCATCCCCCCTTATATTAGTCGAACAAATTCGTTTCCAGGAGGCTTTCAAGAAGGCTGAAAGAGGCTTTGGGCCTCTTCATCCCCCCTTAGAACAAATTCCTCCTGAGCAGGTCTGAGCTCTAGACCCTTCATTTCGGTAGAACAGAGTCTTTCTGAGCACGTCTAAGCTCTAGACCCTTCCTTTCGGTAGAACAAAGTCCTCCTGAGCAGGTCTGAGTTCTGGAACTCTTTATATAGGTAGGATAAATTACTCCTGAGCAGGTCTGAGCTCTGGACCTCTTTAGATAGGTAGAACAGACTCCTCGAGAGTGGGTCTGAACTCTGGACCTCTTCATATAGGTAGAACGAGTTTCCTTTTTTTCCGGGAGGCTTTTGGGGGTTCTGGGCCGTTCATATAGGCAGAACAAATTTTTGTTAAGAAGCTCATTGAAGTCTCTCGGCTCTTCATATAGGTAGAACAAATTTCTCTTCGGGAAGCTACTGGAGGTTTCCGGGCCTGTCGTATAAGTAGAACAAATTCCTTTCTGAGAGTTTCATGGAAGTCTTTCGGCCCTTCATACAGGCGGAACAGATTCCTCTTCGGGAGGCTTCTGAGGGTTTCTGGGTCTTTGCAAGGGGTAGAACAAATTGCTTGTTGAGAGGCTCGGGTAGGTGGGGATGTAACTCATGCAGCAGGCTGCTGAATGCGAATGTGTTCTTTTTTCTGCTGGCTTTCTTTGGGTGCTTGCCGCTTCAGCTGCTTTGCAGCTTCTGCATGGTATCTTTGAGATTGTGCGCGGACATGTCAGTCTTCATGCGGAGTCGACGTTTGGCTGGCCTCTGTCGAATCTCGTTTGACCACAGAATTGCCGAGGCTTGGACAGGCTGGTTGTGACCTCGAAGCACCACTCGGATGCGCTGATTTTGGGAGCGAAGTTTGCCGGCTCGTACAGCTGCTCTGGATGCTCTTCTCACTAAGGTGGCCATTGTAACATTTCTGCATCCGAAACAATTCACCTCGCCGATGTCTTCGCAAGAGAATGCAGTGGTGAAGGCAGCTTGCATGAAGTCGCGTTGGGCTTGCAAGTTGCAGGTAATGATGAACTCGCCGCGGGGAATCCGTCTGAAGACGACTGCACGACGGCTGGATTCCGTAGGTATTGCCCATGTCAGAAAACCACCATCTGCGCAGAGGTTGTGTTTGAAGTGCTTCTGGGGGAGGTCCAGGTGGGTCGGGATGTCAAGCTCATTGGCTCTTTGCACGTGGATGACTCTGCGCGTCTTGTCGATGTAAGCACGGTGCCAGGACTGTGCGGGTAGGACAGCAACCACTTTGGCCAGGTCGATGAGCTGTTCTTCCTTGATGCCGTCTGCCCAGTTGATAATCGTTATTTCTGCCATGGCGAGCGGTTGATAGGACTTTTGATTGTGCGTCTTCAATACTCGTTGGTATCCTGAGCCGAAACGTTTCTGTCTGGCAGAGATCGTTGGATTCATGTCCTACAGCTGCGGTACGTATACTTTTTCGAGCTTAAAATCAGCAGAGCCTCGTGCTGGCCTTTCGAGTACCATGAGGCATGACAGTTTGTTGGATCGTCTTGGCTGCAATTCCCTTCGTACGATGATGCTTCAGACGTTTACGGCTGAGCTTTCTCTCGGCGCACGATGTCAGGTGTTCGGTCCTTTCGGTAAAGACGCGGCGAGAGCCGCCCCAGAACCGGCAGTCCGAATCTGACAATCCAGTCGTGGGACTGTTCTGCTGAGGTTCGCCTGCCAAGGTAAGTACATGAAGTACAGAGTCGAGCCCATATCCTCGAAACCCCGAAGCGTGGACTTGGACTCACAAAGAACAGTCTTCTTGAGGGAGCTACAATGAATGTCGGTTTCTACGGAAGCACTGTTTTGATTCGCAAGTGTTGCCTCTGACCTTTTCAGGCCAGTTTCGATAAATATACCCGCCTCATGCTCATTGTTCGACAGATTGCCCCCGACTCGAGTACTGATTTCAGTTGCGGTGTCCTTTGAAAACTTGCAGTGGTACATAACGATACACACTGAAGATTATTGCAAGGTCCTCTTCCTCGGTTAGCGAGTCGGAGATCTTTTCCCCAAACCAGTCCGCCTCTGCGGCACATCGCTGGCCTTGTCGAGCTAACCTGAGAGATACACCCTACCTGTGGCGGAGCATCGAGGACCCGGCATATGAAGACCGATTGCCCCCAAGAGCACCGAGGGTTCTCCGCCAATGGCACGTTGTGATCGCGGCACACGTGCAAGGGGCCAGGACTACAAGTGCCTCGGCTATACTGGTGTTCTTCGCGCTCAGACTTCGGTCTTGCACGCAAAACCAGGAAGAGCTTCGAACATGAGTGCTATACATGGGCATCGCCAACAAGGAAGTTCGGAGCTGAAGACTCGAGCAATCGTGCTGCAGATCCATGCGCGAGTTCTTGAACTACGGCTGTTGCAAGAACGAACCTCTCGACAAGCTCTGCTAATCATTCCGATGTTGCTAACTTACAGCGTGGACCCTTCATACAGGGCTTGTACATGTGGAACAAACTTACTTTCCGAACTCTGAACTCTGGACCCCTCATGAAGGGCTCTCGATCCTTCATATAGGTAGAACTCATTTTTCTTCGGGGGGCTTCTGGTGGACTTTGGGCCTTTTAAATAGGTAGAACACATTCCTTGCTAAGAAACTCTTGGAAGTCTCTTGGCCCTTTATATAAGTAGAACAAAGGATCCTTGAAGCGCCAATGCCAAGTTCTTGTGAGTATCGCGCAATCGACCTTAGCAGTTGCATGCGGGCGAACATTGTTTTCGGGCTGGTCGAGTTGGTATGCCGCTGCTGCCCTTCACCTGGACCTTCTCGTGACTGCCTATAGTAATTGTTCTTTCCTGGTTTTTAGTATAAGTGGCATATCGGATTTTTGGTGGGCTTGGGAAATTGATGTGTGGGCCTTCACTCAAGCCTCAGTACCTTTGATTCTGGCTTTGACTGTGGCTTTTTGAGGTGTCTAGGTGGGCGTTGGCACAAGAAGAAGCACAGATGCCTTTCTAGGAAGCCTTGGTGGCATGAAGCCTTAAGTGTTTGCTGTCCACAAGCCGACGAAGCAAGGTCTACGCAGACATAGTGCCAAAAGCGTTCAGGGCTGCCAGCGATCAATCGACCTAAAGCATCGGAGCATGTAGAATTCACGCACGGTTCAAGTGGCTAAGCGACTGCTCATCGTATGCACTGGTCGCGCCTGCTCGAAGAAATCGTCCCAGGTGACGTCGCCCCTGCAGACTGCGTGGAACAGGCCAGGATTACCATGCGACTTTGAGGCGCGAGCACTGCTTTGCTCAGCTGCTCCGCGAGGACCATGACTTCCCTGCGGCAGCAAAGAGGTGTGCAAGAACATTAGTTAATTCGATGCATCCGCAGCCTGAGACGCATTCGAAAGCACTGTTTAGTAACGTTGTCACACGGCTTCGTCTGGAGCAGTGCCTGGGTGGCAGCGTGGCAACAGTAGGACTTACGTACGCCGCAGGCTGGGCGACCGGCGAAGCGATAAAAGACAACGGGCGTGGCTGAGCCCTTGATGTTCAAGAGCTTCTCTTCGGTGTCGAGTGCCTCGCAGATTCACGAGACGGCAGTTGATGTGAGATCCGGTGCCACCTTTTGGACTCCGGAGTCAGATGCCCAGGACGGCAACCTCGGTACTGCAGACATGTACATTCAAGGACGATGGAGCTACCAATTGGGCAAGCTGCGTAGCCAGCCGCTTTACCATGAGGGTTTGACGGCCTGAGAGATTCAGCGAGCTCATGCTCGCCCACTAACTTCGTGCAGAGCTCAGACGACACAGTTTTGGCCTGTAAAACAGTAGACAAGAGATGCGGCGATGTTTCGAGTCTCCGCAATTCCGAGGCCTAGGCCCGGAGCAGAAGGACACGCTGGACGCAGCGTGATAAGTTGGAGCCGTAAGTGTGCAATTAAAGTTGATTCGGTGCTTCGTGATGTTTCCATGCTGCCGAGACCGGTGCACGGCAATGACACGGCAGTTGAAGAGAAGCACATTACGACGTATTTTCGTTTCATTGTTGTCAGGCGGTCTGCAGTATAACATGATGATGCTAAGGGTGGCGAGCTTCGCAACTTGGGCATAAAACGGCACGTCAACAGAATGGGAGTAAAAGTGTGCAGAAGGGATTGCATGCAAATGCTGAGGTTGCAAGACATGTGAAGGGCTGCAGATACGTCACGCTGATTGTTTTGGCTTCGAAGCTTTTCATCCCCCCTTGTGTTAGTGGAACAAATTCATTTCCAGGAAGCTTTCGCGAAAGCTGAAAGAAGCTTTGTGCCCTCTCCATCTCCCCTTATATTAGTCGAACAAATTCATTTCCAGGAGGCTCTCAAGAAGGCTGAAACAAGCTTTGGGCCCTTTCATCCCCCCTTATATTAGTCGAACAAATTCATTTCCAGGAGGCCCACAAGAAGGCTGTAACAAGCTTTGGGCCTCCTCATCCCCTCTCATATTAGTCGAAAAAATTCGTTTCCAGGAGGCTCTCAAGAGGCTGAAACAAGCTTTGGGCTTCTTCATCCTCCGTTAATATTAGTCGAACAAACTCATTTCCAGGAGGCTCTCAAGTGGCTGAAACAAGCTTTGGGCCTCTTCACCCCCTTTACATTAGTCGAACAAATTCATTTCTAGGAGGTTCTCAAGAAGCTGAAACAACAATGACACGGCAGTCGAAGAGCAGCACATTACGACGTATTTTCGTTTCATTGTTGTCAGGCGGTCTGCAGTATAACATGATGATGCTAAGGGTGGCGAGCTTCGCAACTTGGGCACAAAGCGGCACGTCAACAGAATGGGAATACAAGTAAGCGTGCAAAAGGGACTGCATGCAAATGCTAAGGTCGTAAGACATGTGAAGGGCTGCAGATATGTTACACTGATTGAATTGGCTTCGAAGCTTGCTCACAATACGTTGCATGTTTCAAAAAGACGAGTCTGTGCTCACTGTGCTCCAGGATCACCACACGGCACTGTGGATGGCATTGCAGACATTCGCGAACTCCTTCTTGTTCCATGGAGGTTTGGTCTCGCTCTCCAAGACGGGC